GATAGACCTCAGGTACTATCTTTAGTGAAGAGAGACTAAGGTAAGGTAAGGCAAGGCAGGCGGTCCCAAGAAAAAAGAGAGAGACGGGCGGGAGGAGTGGGTTGGCCAGTCTGTGAGCTCACCACCCAGCGGCAGCAGCATCAACCTGGTTCCAGTTCCTGAGTACCTTGTTATCGAAGAAAGTTAATTCTTTCTAAGTCATAAGTACAAAAATATAGTTTTAATAAAATAGTATAGTACTTACTTAGTATTTAAATTAAAATACTTTTTTAAACTTATTATAAAAAAAAATAGTTATATTATTAATTATTTATTATTAAAGTCCGTAAATAGCGCTATAGTTTTAATTACTATAGCTTTAACTATAATAGCTTTGCCTATAATAAGTAAAAAGTCTAGTTATAAGTCCTTTAAAAGCCTCTTATTAAGAGCTATAAGAGCCTCTAAATATACTAAATTAAAATACTTATTAAAATATTAATAATTAAACTAACCCTATAATAACGACTTTAATAAAAGATTTAAAAAAAAATACTAAAATCCTTATTATTATTAAGTATAATTTATAAAATATAATAACGTAGCCATAAAGTATTATTAATATATTTTATATTAAAAAAAGTATTATTAATATTAATAAAATAAATAGGGCCGTATTAATATAGTACCTCGGCTTTTTTTTATAGCTCGAGGATAATTATTTTAAATAGTATTAGAAATTTATTAAAAAGCTCTTTTAAATACTCTAGTATATTTATTATTATTTCTATAATAATAAGATTCTTAATACTTATATATAAAAATAAATTATTTATTTCTAAATAATAATACTAGCTTATTAATAAGCTATTAAAACTACGATTTTAGTAATCCCTTAACGAGGGAGAGGGTAAAATAAAAAAAAGGATAGGAGACTTATAAAAAGGGTTAAAGTTAAATAGTACGGAATTCGAGGGCAGGGTAGCGTCTACATGTACTACGGCAATCCTCTAGTAATGCAAAACGATGGAGTTAAACAGTGCTGGTTCCAGTTCCAGGTGTCAGCGAAAAGACGGTCCTTGCAGACTCGCAGACGTGGTTGCGCGGGGTAACGCGGTCCTCCTTGGCGCCACACCCCTGGCTCAGCGACGGTCAGCAGCTTATCGATAGGTTGAAGCTCTTATCGCACGTGACGGATTCCACTTATTTAGGAGAGTTCTCCATAGAATCGCGCAAACAGGTGGCTGGGGGTTAATTAATTTTTGGATGAACCTGGCAGGCGCGATTATCCGTACTTCCTACCCAAGTCTACCGTAGGTAGGTACGAATATACGTTCCTGCCTTTTCTCGATGATGGCGATTTTCTCAACACAGGGCAAGATGAAACGGCGAGGAAAGAAGACAACAGAAAGAAAAAATGCAAGAAATGTCTCGGATGTAGCAATGAGTCATCTGTACCCGAAAAGAAGCTGCATCTTAACGGAACCACCGAACCAGCAAACAGATGCAGCAGCCTGTGCCTGGATGCTTCAACATCAAAGCGTTGTCGGTTTGTCCCACCGTCGGACACGTCAAGCTGCACAAGCGCAAGTGGCTTTGCAACGTCACCCAACCTCACACACACCTTTGCCCGACTCCGTTTTCCCAGCCATTCAATAAGCATCCATCTACGTACTTTTTGTTTCTCCTGCCTCCCGTTTTCTCATTGAGGCTGACATTCCGCATTTACCCCTGAATACGAGAGAGCCGCAAACCTGCATCACCTTTCTCCTTTTCCATGCATATCTTGGAAAATATAGTCACCGCCTTTTGATCCATTTGCCTTGAAATGCAGTTTTCTCCATCTTATACGGGCCGGTCCGCTTCTTCGCCTTGCATCTCTACTTTCCGAGGTCTTCGTCCTCCCCCCGTCTGGTCTCCGCCGAGCTGAGTTTGTTTCAAGAACAGACCGCGACTCTGAAAACATGAGGCTCGCCGTGGCCGCCACCTCGAGCTGTGGAGGCCTCTGGGCCGGTTTGCCAGGCCACGAAAAGAAGAAATCCACTGTTGGGCACGAACAACGTTTGTGTCACTCTCGGAGTCATGGACACTTTGAGAACCCCGTCCTCTTTCACAGACCACTTCGGAAACGCGGCGAATGCAGAAGGGAAAGGAAGAGTCATTCACTCTCTCAGCAAGATTCAGATTTCAGATTTCAGATATCACCATTCGGGAGCTACTGCGTGCGAGTACAGACATGAGCCTGAGCCAACTAACCCAATCAGTGGTATCCATTCGAAGTCCCATTCGAGCCCTGCCCAGGCGCCTTCGCCAACACACTCCCGTATCTCGAGTAGTCGTCCTTGGGCGACGGCACAAAGTGCTCAGGCGTCAACTTGGCACGCGGCTCAAACACGCAGATGATGTCCGACCCGCCAAACAAGAACGTCGAGATCTCCTGGCCCTTCTGCAGCTTCTGTCCCACGCGGACCGATAGCTTGACCGACGAGACCATGGCCATGCCAATCGGCAGCACGGCCACCTTGCCGAGCACCGGATTGTCAATGATTACCAGGCCTCTCGTCTGGAGGAACTGGTAGCCCGGGGAGTCGGGCGCCTCGGGCCGGCAGTTGGGGTCCTTCTCAATGTCCTCGGCCGTCACGAAGAGCTTGCGGATCGGACGACACTGTTGGTCCACTTCGAGGTACGCCGCTCCCTGGATGTTCTTGGCCTCGATGACTGTCCCGGAGACGGGCGCGTGCTGCCGGTGGTAGTTGAACGTGTTCAAGAAGGCATGCATCCAGACGCCCCCGTGGAAACAGTCCGCATACTCGCTGCCCTGGAGCAGGGCTCCGATGGTCCAGGGGAGGCCCTTGATCTCAATGATACCCGTGTCCTGAACGTTGACGATGCTCTGGTTGTAGAGCGAATTGTCGTAGGTGCAGTCCGCAGGGTAAGTGATGACCCTATCATCGTCCTGATCCGCAATGGGTCTCACGCCCGGCTTGAGGTGGCGGGAGAAGAAGTCGTTGAAGGTGCGGAAGCCGCCTTCGGGGATGAGTGCCTCTTCTTTGATCATGTACTTTGGCGAGTCGACAAATGTCTGGAAGGTCTTCTCGTTGATGGACGCCGGCGTGTCCATGAAGAGCCCGATGAGCTGCGCAAACACCACGATCCAGCTCGATAGCGGGGTCAGCGGCAACCCAACCGAGCTCGGGTGGACGAGCGTCTGCTCGCGCAGCAGCGGCTGCTGGTCGAGGATGAAGTAGAACAGGCACAGGATGTCGTACACATCCTTGGCCTGGACGTTCTCAGTGGGAGTCCACTTGAGCATGTCGTTGGCAAACTTGTAGAATGTGTCTGCGTCTTCGATGCCCATTTTCGCCATGAATTCTGGGATTTTCCCCAGTGCCGACTGAACAGCCTTGGTAAGGTTGTCCTTTGGAATAAGGGACATGAAGAGGATGATGATGGGGTTGAAGTGGATGATTCCTTCGTCTGCAACGGGCTCGTAGGTGTTGGGGGGCATGAAGGAACCCCACGAGGACTTGCTGCCTCTGGAGATCGAGCCTGGAACGGATCCCGGCTGCTTGAGGTAGGGGTTTGACGGGATCGGCTGGAAGCCGACTTCCTCGTCAGTGGCAGTGGGGAGACCCGGCATGATGGGTGATGTTTTGCTAGAAAGTTTAGGAAGAGTAAAGAAGTCTTTGTTTGGGTTTCGAACTGGAATCTGAGTGCTTGATGGTCAAGAAGAGCCTGATTCTACTCATCCCCATCTGAGGATTCCTGGCTCATTTATAGACGAGCCAGACCGCCCTCTCCCCCTTTCTCTCCTTGATCTCAACGACGCACGAACTGAAGGTCAAGAGCTATCAACGTCAACGGGGAGGAGGAGCAGGGAGCGGGCACTAGTCACGGCCCGTTGCCGTACCGCTGCCGGAGAACTGAGACCGGCTTTGTTGTCTCACTTCCCCTCTGTTGATCAACGGCACCCCGCGCAGGTGTCCCGTTACTCCCGCTCCTTGACGCGTACTCGGATGATGCCAGATCGGGATACAAGATTCTAGCGTCTTGTTAGCTTGGCGGGGTTGTCAAGGTGCTTTTAGTATGACATGGTGTTGATCTTTTGCGATCTGCGAGAGGTTCGTTTCTTGCTTCTCCTTACAGACTTATGCCTACTTTCACTCGCGCGATGTATGAGGTAACTTGCCGGATCGTTGCAGGCGTCAACCGAATCTGTCCAACCGTTGTGTAAGCCAGGGCGGGAAGCACTGCCGGCGTAGCAACTATTGCGATCTGTTCGGACCTGTCGTAACTTTGCATCGTGGTGTTGTTGGACTACTTGGTCCTGCTTGCCTGCAATTTCTCTTAATCTCGTTTGACACCCGTAAACGGCGAGACATCTAGATGCAGGTTTCACTTGCACATAAATTTTACCACGGCTCCCCTCAGTTGCTTCACCGTACCGTCGAAAGATATAGCCATAAGGGGATAGAAATATGCTCGGTCAGTTCATCTGCTTTCTTGGCGGTACGAAGTTGATAATTGAAGCCAATGGTTCATGATGGAGGTGAGGACCAGGGCTGCCGATCACTACTTACTCACCCTCCTGGTGACCGGAACTGAGAGCCGGGAAATGGCTAAGCCATTGACATCTGGGTAGAGAGAATTGGAACTCTCGTATTTAGTTGCGCGAATACGCTTGAACACCGGTGCGTCTTGCTGTTGAGAGGCCAGAGGCATGGCATAGTAAGAAGGTAGCTACCCTTTTCGCGGATACGACGGAAAGCAGACAAGCTCAAAGTGAAGCCCTAGAGAGATCACGGCATCTTGCCCGTAACCTACGGCATGCCCTCGATCCAGCTCTTTCTTTCTTGCGGAATTTGGCTTGATACTATCTCGTGCGGTCTGAGCAGCTGATATGGTTGTGCGACTCTGAAAGTCAATGACTTCAATCCAAGCGCGCGGTGTCTTCTCCTCATCCTGACAGAATGCATCAAGTGCCGCAGCAGCAAATCACCCCCTTCAGCGTCCCTATTGATCTATCTCTGAGATCTGGCCCGTTTCACGCCAAATTTCTGACTCAAAACCACCCAGGCACCGACGACAAGTATCTTCCTGAACGCTGCGGGGTCACCGCTTTCACCAGATGCAGTCTCAAGACACCGTGATATGCTCCCAAAGTCGACAAAGCCAAGGCATTCGACCGCGTCTTTCGTCAGAAACCCCCTAAATATTCGCTGTACCGGCCCTCCCACGGGCCACTTCCATGGGGACGAGTATGGGTGCTTCTTGCGGTTGTAGATCTCGTCCGTGATGAACGGCCGCCCCGCCTCCCGCAGGACCTTCTTGTCAATGATGCGATCTCGGACGGCGGCCATGTTCACCCAGAAGAAGCTCTGAGGCGCTACTTTCTTTCTCTTCTCTTTCTCGTCGTTATTGGTTCCTATGGAATCCTCGGGCTTACTATAGCTCATCTTGACGCCCGGCGGAAGCCCATTGACGTACTCCGCCAGCTCGTGGTCCAGGAACGAGAAACGCGCCTCGGTACTGTGCGCCATCTCCGACCTGTCGCCCAGACAGGTCAAGACCATGTTCGCCATGGAGGTCTTGAGGAAGACGTACAGCGCCGAGTGGAGGCTGTGTCAGCGCGTTCGAATCTTCTCCTGGGCGTCTGGGGGGACGGAGTTGAGGATCGCTTCGTAGACGCTGAGTGTGTTCTGTTTTTCTCTCACCCAGGGGAGAAACACGTCCGATGAGAGAAAGCCTCGCCATTGGACCATGAAGACGTCCAAGCCTGCGAGAGAGTCGAAGCCGGTGCTTTCTTCCGTTCGGGAGTGATCAAACATGCCCATCCCTTTGTACATGCTTCGCAACTGCGCTGCGGCGGACTCGTTTAGCGCTTCCCGAAGCTCGGTATCCTTCGTTAGCTCCATCAACGGCAAGGCATCGTCGGGCTCACGTATGAAGTCGGAGACTAGGAATAGGTACCCTGCAAAGTGCCCATCTGCCCCTTCACCCGTCAGCACAACGGGGATCCCTTGCTGGCGAGGTAGCTCTGTGAGGGCGTACTTCCCGACGCTGTTCATGTCGAAGTGGTGGTGCTCGGTGTGGTATACGGAGTCGGCGAAGTGCTTTGCTAGTTCTTCCTCGTCCATAACTTTTTTTACAGTGTTCAAGTCTAGCCATTCTTCTGTGCGTTCTGCAATGTCTTGCCAAGTTGTTAGCATGAATCTAGGGCGTGGGTGCACCCAATGACCTACCGTATTCGTTATACTGGGAATCAGAAGCAAAGGAGATGCTCAAGCAAGTGATCCTATTTTTAATATCCTGGTTCCCCAGCTTCACTCCTCTTTCTCGTACGAGCTGCGTTGTTATACCAGCCACAATGGACGAGTCGAGACCACCTGAAAGATAGATGCTGACGGGGACATCGGCTTGGAGGCGGAGGCGTACGGCATCTACTAAGCGCTCGCGAACTCCGTCGACCATCTCATCCATACTGCGTGTCTCTTTGACGGTCTAAACAGCTTTTAAGCCTATCAATCACCGTTCGGCTTATACATTCATGTGAAGCCACTCACCTTATCCGCATACTCGGCATCCCAATACCGATGCTGCGTCACGCTCCCGTCTCGACCGAACTGCACCCAATGCCCCGGCAACACCTTCTTCACTCCCTTGAACAGCGTACCTTCGCCTAGAACCGCCGCACCGCTGCAGATGGCATCGACGTCCCACTCGGGCCCCCACCCCATGGGCAGAAACCCCTTGATCTCCGAGGCGATCAAGAGTTTGGCCGGCGTCTCGCTACTGTATGTCCAGAAAAGAGGCTTGATGCCGAAACGGTCCCTCGCGGCGATAACATCACCGGATCGCTCACCGTATAAGACGAAGGCGAATTCGCCACGCAGGTGCTTAAAGAGCCCGCGAACTCCGTGGTGTTGGTACAGAGCCAGGATGACTTCACTGTCGCTCCTCCCGGAGAAGTTGTAATCGAACTCGGTGGTACAGCGGCCGCGGATGCCGAAGTGGTCGTAAATCTCGCCGTTCACGACGACGTGGATTTTCTCATCTTCACTGTGTAAGGGTTGAAGGCCCGTTGGCGAAAAATCTATGATTGAGAGGCGTGCGTGGCCGAGACCTTCATGACTGTGTCAATTTCCGGCAAACGATCTCAAACCTGAGTCAATGGAGCTGAGATGAAGCATACCGACGGTAGCGTCGCTGTTTATCCATGTTCCTTCTGCGTCTGGCACTCGATGCTGAAGGAGAGATAGGCTTCGTGTTAGTTTACTTTGCACATCGGCGCCTCGTTCCGATGATTCGTTTTGTGGACTGCCGGATTGGATGGTGGCTGTTGGCCCGCACATTCTTGAGATGAAGTTTTCTGTGATTGTTCATCAGATGAAGTTCCTGCTGGTTCTGTAAGAGAGCCAAGTACGATATGGGAGTAGTTCATGAAAGAGAAGCGGCCAGAAAGAGAAGGCGATGCATGTTCAGAAGTTTTCAGAACCAGTGGACAATGCTTGAATCACGAGCTGAGTCTGGCAGGAAGTATCGCTCCCGGGTCTTCTCTAAACTTCCTTCAACAAAGTGATGTTGGGTTGCATCCTCGCCGTTGGGATTCAGAGTTTCGTACAGAAGAATCAAAGTTTCGGGCAGCTGGGTACCGGGGAAGAGCAATACGTTTGCCTGTATCCCACTGTTGGTGAACCACCAAGTTGTGTTGTCTGAAACTCGCGACTCCATGTTTCTCCAAGAATTCGACTCTACACGGAAGCCATGGAGAGGGAAATGAGGCGCACGGGTCGGGACAGCCTGCGTTAACCACGAAAGTTCCGTCTTGGTGAGTGACTCTCAGACGTTTTTCTTACCTTATGTTGCAGATAGGAATAAGCTAAGGCACAAATGAGAGCCTTCCTGGGAGGAAGTTGCCAGCCAGCTCTGGTTAAAAGTCGACCAAGGTATGATTCAAAATTCAAAACCCACTTCAAACTATCAAACTATCAAACTGTAACTGCCTTCAGCACGCCAAGAATCCGAATCATTACAGAGAAACTCGAGTCGATTGCCTGGAGCGGTCTGAATACTAGCTTTTAGTAAGAACCTATCAAATTTCGGTGACAATTCTCCATCTATTTGTGAACCAACTTTTCGGCAGAAGTCGTTGGTATAGGTCCGTATACAATCCGCGGTGGCTGCGCTCTCATGGCACTCCCCACGAACCGATCAATACTCCAACTCCGGGCCTCAACATCATGAATTGAAACAAAGGCTTGATGCTTGCTCTTCTGAGCGGCTTCCCAGAGTTTCTTCATTGCGTACTCTCTCTGGTGAAAGCGTCGCACGTCATAGAAGTTATTGACAAGCTGTTGCAGCCGTACACGCATGAATCCTCTGTATATTCCGGGCGTCTCTGATTGCCGTGGTTCATCATTTGTAGTAAGTGTCTTGTCCGCATCGTCGTGGTCAGGGTCAACAGCCCAAACCCACATGTCGTCGACGAGCCTATGTGCACCAAGGACCGATTTGACGCTTGGCTTGTCTACCATCAGAAAGACATTTCGTATAATGCCGCCTTCTAGAGCACTGGTTTCTGAATACACAGGTGCGCCAGAGACGATGCCTTCTTGTGTTTGACTCCTTGTGCCTCTGTCTCGGATGGACTTGAACCTTGTACGCAAGATGCGGAAGCTGGCGAGTCTCTCTTCGTCCTCTCTTCCACCTCTCTGGTCCTCGTCAATAGTCAGCTCACTAGTATCCTCTTCTGCGTCGCCTCGACCAACAGCTTGTCTGGCGCTCATCTCCTTGCCGCCACCTGCAGCATCACTGGTAGGCCACTCAAGCTTCTGCAATTTCCACTTGTTATTGATGGCACTGCTTCCCGCCCCAACCGCGTCGCGAGCGTGGAATAGAACGCCATCTCTCCGAGCCATGTACCTATCGGCTTCTTCGCCGTTGGCGAACGCCTTTGGATCGATGAACATGCCATACCCCCAAACCTTCTCCCCTTTGTCCTCCTCCCACAGACGTCTCACCCATGGGCGCGCCTTGGACAAGGCAGTTTCAGTCTCCTGCCTCTGTCTCGCTTTCCATGATTCCTTTTCGCGCCTCCAGTGCTCTGTGATAGCATTGTTGATGGCTTTCTCTTCATTTTCTGCATAGAGCATGTGGCGTACCGCCCCGAGACGCTTCTGGGCTTATTCATACTCCTCTTCTGAGACTCTATCGGGTCCCATGATCAGCCCGGCTGCCCGTGAGACTTCACGTTCCTCGCCTGGCGAGACATTCATCCAGTAGCGGTTCTTGAGCAGAGAGTTCTCTGCGGCGGTCAGCTGCGAGGGTGACTCGACAGCACGCTCAAGGAGATCTTCTTTGGATAGCTTAGTCGATTCAGCAATGTTCGCTGCTTGAGTTTCGGCATTTGGAAAGTCGAGCAAACGCTCCTGATCATGGGGAGCGAGTGACGGCGAGGCATCATTCTGAGAGAGTATGAATTCCTCGGATGCTAAGAACGATTGGATGAGCTCGTCTGCGTCGTCAATCTTGCGAATGACCCGCATGAAAGACCTGAAGTGATTCTCCAAACTTTACGAAGGCGAAGACGGCATTGAGATGTGGTTTGGCAGCAGGAGCTACAGTATTCTGGCGTTTGAGTAGTGGCCCGACCATTCGCTGTCGGTTGAGGTGCACTAGATCGTGGACTGATGGTTTAGCGGGCAAGCCAAGGTGCTTAAACCCGTGCACTACCCCCACTCAACCAACACTTCTCGTTTGTACCCCTATTTTGAATAACTACAACCCAAACCGAACATCTAGGTCTTCTCATCATCTATGTATCACGTTCTTATGTAATTGAAAGGCAAGTGCATGATTGATCAATGGTGTGATATTTGTTCATGGAAGGTATAGATACATGTTATATGCTGGCTAATATTGTACAAAGAAACGTCTCAACCCGAGCCATCGTAGACCACCGCATTTAGCAGTTGGTCTGGATGCCCTGAGAGTACATGGCAAAGGAATCGGCATTGTTCAATGCCTGGGAAGTGCTGAGGGAGTCGACGCAGCCCTCGTAGCCGTAGCAGACGTCGTCGGTGCCGCCAACCTCAGTCAAGTGAGTGGACTCGTGAACCAGGACGTACGGCTGGTCGGTGGCGCGGCACGAGGTGGTGGAGGCGGGGAACTGGAAGAAGTAGTCGCAGACGACAATGTAACCGCCGCTGCCAGGCTGGGCGTAGGCGACGACACCGTCGCTGCAGAAGTTGCCGACGTCGGTGCAGTAGAGGCCGGCGCCGCTCGACGTGCTGCCGAGGAGGGTGGCGGCCTTGCCAAAGATACCGGCGACGGTGGACTTTGTGCTCGACGTGGTCGACTTGAAGTACTGCTGCAGGCGAGTTCCCGCGTTGGCGGCCGTCTGGGCGTTGGTCGCGTAGGTCTTGGCCTTGGAGAGGGCGGCGGTGACGGCCGTCTTCTTGGTGCCGGTGCAGTCGGACTGGATGGTGACGCGCTTGGCGTTCAGGGACTCGTGGAAGGCGGCGTGCACCGAGGCGGCCTGGGTGCCGTCGACGGTGGCCTGGAGGACGCCCGAGTCGAAGACGACCTGGCCGGCAATCTTGTTGCTGCCCTCCTCGGCGTAGCGGAGGGATCCCGTGCTGGAGATGTTGAAGTCGCCACCGCTGCTGAGGTCGTGGACCTGGGCGGCGTCCCACTGGACCTTGACGACCTCGCCGGCCTCGATGGTCTGGAAGGCAGAGTCGGGGAGATCGGCATCGTGAACGTAGACTCGCACGCCAGTGAAGGCAACCTTGCTGACTATGGATAGTGTTAGATACTGTTTGCTTTTGGAGTGTATGAAGAGTAGTCTAGACTTACCACCAGTGCCATCGACCGAGCTCGTCGAGAACTGGGCCTTCTCAACGGGCGATCCATCGAGGATCGAGCCCGCCTTAAGAACACGAAGGGGCGTGCTTCCGGTGTTGGTGATGCTAGCCTTCAGCTCGCTGTTGCCGACCTGCTCGACTTTCACATCGAGGGGCTCCGCACGTCTGCCCAGGTTGACGGCAGCGCCGTTGGCAAGGGCGGCGAGGCAAGAAACGACAGTGGCGGCCTTCATGGTGGCTGAGTAAGGTGGTGGGACTTTAAAGAGAGTGTAGGACGAAGCCGTTGGAAGATGCTGGATTCTTCTCAAGAGGAAGGATAGTTAGCAGCGAGAGAGGAAGGCTTTATGGCTCCTCCATAACTCCTGAGAGGGAAGCCCCCTGATCTGAAGGTAACCCTTCTTGGGACCTCAAACGAACAGTAGATTGCATCACGGAGAAGAAACTTCAAGGATACGGGTGCGAAGCCGGGGCAACGTTCCACCACGGAGAATTGTCCCAGTGGTTCGGGATGCGGGTGCGAAGTTGGGAGGATGGAAATTATCCGATCATGTCCAAAATAGAGACGAACAGGAAAGCTGATACACGAGGCTTCCACCAACCGAAGCGCGCAGCCGCGGATAGAGGTGGGTGTGTCAAGCGGGGCCATCTCGTAACGGATCTACACAGACTACTATAACTGAAGCCATCCCCAGCTGCTTCGTTGTACGAATGGGAGCCATGGTTATGATGGTTTAGAAGCGGCTCCCACTCCTTTAGTGAGCTTAATATGAGCCTTAAGAGGTCGTTATGGAGTAGGAGGTGCCGGGTTCGGAGTTTAAAGTAAATAGAGTAGTGGGCCAGGTCGACTCTGATTAGCTGTTTAGTTTCACTACCGACAGCCGTACACCAAAACGTGGACTTGGCAAGGTCTTGGCTGCGTGCCGTTTTGATTTAAACAACAGTGGCGCTGCTTTGATTCAGACTCGCTCGGGGCAACTTTTAATCTCGGCAGCGACAACCTCATACGCGCGTGTACGTAACAAATGTTTGCCCCGCATTCATGCTCGGTCTAGCCCCAATATCCTACAAACGTCCGTTCCCTTCATGATTCTCATCGGTTCTGCGACCTGCCTAAAGGAGCATCAAAGCCGTTGACGATCCAATCAGGCATTCTCCATTTGCCTCCTCTTCCTTGCGTAGTGGACTCGTCTGGAGCTTTGTCAGGAGACTGTCGTGGCACAACATCGTCATCGTTCTCATTCTTTCTCAAATCTCGATTCTCTTGGCCCCCTGAACTCATCATCACCTTTCCAGCAACCCAACATACAGACTTTGCCTCCATCACCATCAACCCGTGAACTCTGAAGCTCTCGTACCTGAAGAAACCTCACTCAATTCTACATTGCTTACTCTCACTCTCCAAACACCCCTAGTCAAAAAAGAGTCATCATACATGAACCCTCATCACCGTAGCCGAGGGCCTCTTTCATTCCCGGCCGCCCTAGCAATCGGCGCCGTCATCGTACTCACATTCTACTTTTACTCACCACTACAATCCTTCACAATGACTTCTGACTCCTCCTCATCTTTCCTCAACAACCTCGAGGTGAGGCTGTCTCAGTCCGGCACCTCGCCTCCCAAAGTCTCAGTGTCCGTCAAGAACACACACCCGGACACGCCCGTGACGCTCCTGAAATGGAACTCCCCGCTTGACCCCGCCGTTCTCGGCCTGGGCCAGGTGTCCATCCAGCCGGCCGGGGCCTCCGAGCCGATCGAGACCCACGCCATCATGATCAACCGCAAGATGCCGCCCGGCGCCGAGTCGCTCATCACATTGCGACCCGGTGAGAGCGCGGATCAAGTTGTTGAGCTTCGCGAGCCAAGAGTGCCGGGTGATGTGTGGGAGGCAGGCAAGGCCAAGGTAGCGATGAAGGGGAGGTGGATGGCTGTCTGGCCTGGCCTGACCACGGAGGAAGTGTTGCAGAGCCCTGAGAAGTTGACGTCTGTCGGTGCTGGTGCAGGATCTTTGATAGGGGAGTGGGAGACGGAGACTATTGAGGTTGGAAACTGAGCAGTGAGCTTGTTTAGCTAGGATGTCTCAGAATTTTGATCACACGAGTCTTGCCGGATGCTCTTGAACAGTATTTTGAGAGACTGTGGTTACATCGAACGAGGGTGCAAGCTAGAAGTTTCAAAGAATGAAGCAACTTGATTTATAACACTACGAATCTTGATGGGCGCGCACTCTAACGTTCTTGACATTTACCGGTATGTAACTGAAATGAGCAGTACTCAACACATGATATGCAGAGGGAGCTTCGTGAGACGTATCACTTCATCTTGACTCTTTCATACCGGTATCTCCATACCTGCTCGGTTCGTTCTTACTTATCTGCTGGTCTGACAAGCGTTTTTTCACTTCTGCAACCTTTTCCTTGAGCGGCCGATGTATACTCGTGATGTCTGTCAGCCAATTCCGCTTCAACTGTTGCTTCTTCGGCTTTGCTGATGTAACAAAAAGCTTGTATTGGCCTTGAGTGAGTCAGTAGTGAGAACGGTCAGGTGGGGCATCACACTTACCCCAGGCCAGTCGCCCCAAATCGATTGCGTTGTAAAGAAAAATCTGGATGAGGCGAGCAACGAGAAGGACAGGTGAAACCATGAATCCTACAATGACATGAATGTAGGTGGTCCAGTAGCTAGGCTCTTTGTCTCCCAAGATCCCACATGCCGTCGAGACCTTCTCAGAGGGCAGGTCAATGAATAGATATACTATCCAGAACCGAACGTGCCCCGAAAAGCTTGCCTTGTGGATGATTGGTTGGGTTGAAGTAGGACCGCCAGGCTTTTTGTCCTTTTCAGATACCCCGCCAGCCTTGGCCTCCTCATGTTGATGTCGTGTGGGTGACACCTGCGCCTCGTGTCTCAAGTTAAACAGACTGCTGTTGATCTTCGCCTGCGAGTAGTTATTGATCGCCATTGACACTTTCTTCGCATTCGCCAGCGCCACAATGGTGAGGAAGAGCGCAATAACGGAGCAAACAATCATGGGCTTGAGGACATCGCCTGGTGGTGTTTCGCTCATGCTGAAGATGCTGGCCGCGAAGCCGAGCGGCAGGAATATGACAGTCACGTACGTGAAGAGCCGGACGTTCTCTGCGTCGATCAGCGAGAGGTTGTCACGGCTCTGTTGCTGATTGCTGATCAGCTGCTCCTTCAGTGACCGAATGCTGTTACGGTAGTTGTGTAAATCTCGCGTGTGGCGGCCTGTCGAACCTTGCATCTTCCCAATGAGGCCGCGGTATTTACGCTCGTCGTTACGTGTCCATCGCGGCCGCTCCTGGCCCCTATCTTTCTCACGCGCCTCCCATTTGAGGACGGTCGACAGCACGTCTGCGAGCTCTTCCTCCACGACCTGGAGTATCTGCTGACAGTTCTGCCACTGGGCGCTGGATGAAAAGTACTCAACGCTGCTCAGAGTCGAGAATGAGATTGTTCCCCGGTTTTCTCCCAGCTCGTGTACGACCATATCGAAGATGTCTTTGGTGCTCTGGACAATCTCTTTCAGGATTCTGTCAAAAAGCTATAACTCTAGCACTTTCCTTTGCTGCCAACCTTTTTCGTCCCACGGCTCAGGCCTCCGCCACCAATGCGAGACGTGTTCAATCATGTAACAAGTCCAGTATCGGTCGAAAAAGTCTCCTGAAAAGCGAAACCCCATCGAGCATTGCATGAGCTTTTTATTGGCAACGCCTGGAATGTTTTTCCGACTAGACGGGGGGATTCCCGTCTCTAGCTCGTAATTCTCATTGACCAGTCGATGGAAGCTCAGATGAAGTTCACTGTGCCAGGTATTGAGTACCATTGTTGTTTCTTCGAGGAACTGTTTTTCATAATGGTGATGACGGTCGAAGAAGAGCGAAATGGCTTGTCTCTCATCTGGTGGGCTGGTCATGTAGCAAACGAGAGCATGCTGGTCGCTCGCTGCTGGCAGCCAAATGAGTCTTTTCTTGGCTTCTTTGACTACACGAGGCCTTGACAAGTATCTCCAGAGCGAGTGACTCCCATCGAGATAGTGTATGTCGTTGCCGTTCGCCCTTTCCTGTTTGCTTAGATTCTTCTGCTTCCGGACATTAACCACACAAGAATACATCTCGTTGTTGTCGTCATTTCGGAAGAAAGTTGAGTCTGAAGTTGGCGAAGCATCATCCCTCTTTGGCTCTGAAAGTCTTTGCATGTACTTTTCAGCTGCCTTTGTGATTACGATGTTTGTGTTATTCATCCGTGTGCTTATGTTGTTTTGCCACGTTGGACCCAAAAACTTCCTTATCTCTTCATGGAGGCTTTCGGCTGTCTTTTCATCGCCGCCTAGAAAGGATGGATAGTTGTAGAGCCATTCATCATCAAGGTCAATGATGCTACTCTGATCAATGAAGCTATTGAAAGGGACGCTCTTTTTCATTGCCGTAGTCTTGGGCCGCTTGGACTTGACGTTCAGATACAGGCCTGCAGATACGTTTTGAGATTCACCGGCATCAGCGGCAGAACTTGTATTTGTAGGCGACCTGTGCTCCTGTCGCTTTGGCTGCTGTGTAATCATATCTGCGACTTCGTTGAAGGGGTGCTGGGGTGTCAATTGGAGCCTTTCGAGTCTAACTGGCGACTCGGGGTCTTTTCCGGCAATGTCTTTGTATGCTGAGTCGATTTTTGGAAGATGCGTGAGAAGAATGTAGGGTATTTCGAAACTTGCGAGGAAGTAGAAATCTCGGTCCTCTTCTCTGGCGAACAGCGCTGGCTCTTTCGTAGTTCCGTCCAGTTGCCCATAAAAGAGCCCGTTGGGATTTGTGGATCGAAGTAAAACGTCAAACGCAGACTTGACAAGGTCATTCGGCGACCTTTTGTTGAGAGTCATGTTCCTGGTTCCCATCATGATTGCCAGCGCATATCTGATCGAGTTGTCCCACCCTGTCTCCGAATTCTCGCTATGATGGACCTGGGCCTCAATGGTGTTATCCCAAACCTCGTCAAAGATTGTTTGTAAGAAGAAATTCCACTTGATGCCGTAGAATAAAGCAGTGTCGCTAGCATGGAGCAAAAAGCGCGTCTCGCGGGGAGACCGTGTCATTGCCAGCATTCGTTTCTTGGACACGTCGTTCTCGACAGTAAACCGCCTCAGTATATCCCTCTGGATGACATCAGAGTCGAACTTCCTGAAAATCTTCTCATCATCACTGACATGTTGGTCTCGTTGACCTATGCCAAGAACTTTCTGATCCTTTGTGTCACCCTCAGCCACCTCTTCACGATCTATTTCCCCATCGTCCGGGTGATCCTTCGTTTCAGAACATCTTCGCCGGTCATCTTCGATCGTTTTCAACGCTCTCCATATCCAGACATGTTCATTGAGTCTGTATTTGTTGTACCCTTCATCTTGTGCGTGAGGCCAGACATGGGAGGCACGCTTGTCGGACTTGTCAAGGGTATGAAGCCAGGATTTAGCAACCTTGCGTATCACCCTTCGGGCAAGTCTCCGATAGTCATTGTTATTATGGGTGTTCATAGACGCGGAAATCTTCAATAAGTGGAACGGTGTATCGGTGAAAGAGTCGCATGGCAAAAATGAACCATCATTCGTGTCAACCATGACTTTACCTGTTGGCCAGTAATTTGCTGCAAAAACTCCTCCTTCCGTAAGACCAGCTTTCGAAAGCCACTGCAAGTGGCCGCGACAGACCAAGTCTATTCTCCGTCGTAGCGACTTATAAGCATGTTCGGCTCCAGCATGCTCGGTGTCATCCAGACGCTCTGCAATTTCAGATAGGAATGAGAACGCAAAGCTAAAGAAGTCAGAATGCGCCTGACGCTGGCTTGAGAGGAAAGGGGGAGGAGTGGTTTCTATCTCACAAACTCGCTGAAGGACACACCCTATGCATTGACATATCGCCACATGTCAGAGCAACTGCCACTGTTCCTCCCTCGACAGAAGGATTCTCAACGGGAATGGCACATGCTGACAGAATATGCTCTAAATTCCGGCGAACAACAAAGTCGATGTGATCCGTTGAGCTGTTGGTCGGCAGTCGATGTGGTTGTGTATCTTTGGTCGATGGAACAGATTGCACCCATCGATTTCTGGTTTTCTCGGATTTCTCTTTTTCCTTACCTTCGGCAGGCTTGATGTATTCTGAGATACGGAACGCCGTAAATTTGACTGACGTCAGATACTTGCCGACGTCTGCTTGGACGGCTGGTACGAGGAACTCATCCCATGCAGCATTAGACTTGGTCAAATGTACCATTTTGTACGCGGTGACAACCTCAAATGTGGTTTTACTCCCCAAATATCTTGTCCAAAGGTCGGTAACCGTGCTATCCCTAGGGTCCCAATGAACAGCTTTGCCATCCACAAAGACAGACACCACAACTGCAATAGCATCCAATGGCTCAGGCGATGGGAGCTTCGCCTGTTTCGGCATTTCCTTTGGATCTTCGGTTGCTGTCTCGATTTGAATGGCAGGTGATGATATTGAGGTTGGTTCTGCTCCGTTCTCCTTTTCTTCGTCCGCTCCTTCATGCTGCAAATGCTGAACAAAAACCCACCCGTAGCCATTTGGGGCTTGGATTTGAAATTGGCCAGGCTGCTTTTCTGAATTGGGCCACTTGAGATAATCCAAGTCTCGGATCTGCATAGCTTTGGCAAATCGAAAAGGGACTTCCACATCGTCCGCCCTGTCGTTTGTAATAAGGCATTGCTGCAAAACCGTTCTCTCGTGGACCATCCACTGCAAAGTGAGTTTGAGTTTATCGCCTTCCATCTCATACCGAGGCCATCTGTCATGAACGTAACCTAGATTGCGGCATCGCCGCGGATTTATGCTAGGAAATCGCAGGCCGTAGCCAACGCACTCGCGCACTTGATCTCGCTGCATTTCGAGCAGTTGTTCAGCTCTGCTTAGAACATAGAATGGCTCGTCTGTGTCGCCATGGTCGGCGGAAAATACACCGGATTGACCAACCCCCAAAAAGCTGCTGAATTGCATCAAGTCGCCGTAGGCATTGACGGTAGCTGTTACCCCATCATCCCCAAAAGAAGCGTGGCACTTGGGGTTCGGCGGGTCGGACCAATTGCTGATTTGATCATCTTTGAGTTGGAACGTCTCATCTTTCGCACCATGCTCTCCGAAGTGACCTGATTGGCGTGAGTCGGCTGACCCTGTAAGTTTGATAGCAAAGTGACTCACGATGAATACGGCTCTTGAAAGCATCGCTGTCTTCTGCTGGAACATCGTCGTCCTTCCATAAGGGCCGCTGTTCCTCGACAGGCTTATCCGGCGCAGGTACTGAGCGCTCGCTCTCGACGCTCGACATGTTTGCGTATTGCAGAAGCAGTTGCAATTCGTAGCCTGCTCACTTAGTCGAGCGAACCTGTTTGACAGCCTGGGCGGGGCCAGATCATAGTTATATGCGTGTTGCCAAGCTGGTACATATTAAAGACAAGGGTGTGGAAGACATTTCCCAATCAAGTTCCTCCATCTTTGGTTGGTCGTTTCTTTTGGGTTGCGCGCGCAAATATTAATCACGAGGCTATTCCCGCTCTCAGCTGCTGACTGCATATCGCTTACGCCACATCACCGGGGGGAAGGCGTGGGTGACGGCAAGGCTCTGAGAAAGTATGGCATTCCTGAGAAGAGTAGGCAGGCTGGACCTCCCCAAGCCCCAACATCCTGACTTCCATGCTTCAATGTTGCCTTCCAATTCTCGTTCTTTGAAAACCGGACTGCATCGTCACTGCCCTTCTAAGAAGAGGTCTTGAACGCCATTGGGGGACACGGTACGAGTTCCTAGATCGGGCCCAGAAAGCTCCTGAGAAACAATCTCATCACGCTCTTGGATCCGAAAGGCTCTGAGAACGGCCTACTGGAGGGCTTCAAGCATATTCTGATATCACATCTCATGCTGACATTCATGAAGCTACTAAACAAGGTGCGACCAGTTCTACCGAAAGAGAAGCTGACGGTAACACAGACAGTAGCTCTAGCCTTGCGTTTTGCGGCTCAGAAGTCTCGTTTTCCTAGGCGCGGCAGAGCGTGCTGCCAAGATGGATGGTGTTATCCTGTGAGAAGGCCGTGGTTGCACTTGGAAGTCAAACCTCATGTGGTTTTCAGTTTCTGGTGAATGCGCATGCTATCTCAAATCCCTTCGGCTAAATCCTGCTGAAGAAGTTTGATGCTGCTATTTGTCCCATTCCGCCACTTTCCAGGCACTTCAATGTCGGGCTCAGGATTTGACGAACCGGGCTTGGTGCTCCCTTTCTCACAAGAAATCTCGTCGCTCGTAGCACAGGATTGATGGTTCACCCTTAGTGGTATAAAAGCTTGCTCCACGCTATCTTGACGAGCCTGCCAAGCCATCGCGGGGCGAGAAAGAGATTCCTGAGATGCACGACGAGTCTTTTGGTCGGGCACGTCATGAGCGGCGAGGCTCTAGATCAAGTCCGAATGGCTGCTAAACCAGAGAGGCCCTCGTGCCATTCAGTCATTCAGCCTTCTACTCATATTCCGGGCTGAATATACTACAAAGCTCGAGAGGAGACTTTGGAAGCTTAAGGGGTTTTGATATGTCTCATCCGTGAAACACCAGGAGTGTAAGCGTATTCTCCCACTGTTTGCCATGTCAGGCTTCATGATGTGGCTCAAGCCTGTCCACCGCCATGATAGGCTTCTATGCGGCTGAATGTATCAAGCGTCACTCGTCTGACATCAGTATGATGGTTTTATAAGTACGCGGTGTTGTTTGTAGACGAAGAATACATGAAGGTTGCGGCGGCCTGCTTTGCTCTTCTAGGCCGGTCTAAACAGATGGCAGCAACACAGTATTGATAGGAGAAAGGAAACCCATTTTTTCAACCGTTTCAGTACATCCATCTATTGAGAGCATCCTATCAGCAAGAACACATAGCCTTCTGAACATCAGATACATGTAACGACATCCGATGTTTTATGTACCAAAAATGACCTCGCAACGCTCAGCCAAACGTGACATCGTACACTGTCATATAAAACACAAAGGGACTCATTCCTCCTATGGACAAAACCTTCACCAACACCCCATCCACCCACACAATCAAGGCGGCACCCACCCAAGCTCCTCGATAGGCCACTGAATCCAAAGCCGATGATCCTGATCCAGCACAGCCCACGCCCTCGAGATCAAATGCGTAGCCCACCCCTGGAGCCACCACTCATTCTCCAACCTCTTGAGCAAGATACAAAAATGCGAAAAGATCGCAACAGCCTCCTGCGTGTGCCCGGGACTCTTCAACAGCGGCAAGAAATCCTCCGCCATGAGATACTTCCACACAAACGCGTCCGTGATATCCATGCCCCTCCCGCCGTCCCACAGAAACACGCTCAGCGTCCGCCGCAGCTCGTCGATGGCGCGGTTGTAGATCGGCAGGAGCGCGGCGTCGGCGCAGGTTTTGTTGACGAGGCGCTGGAGGTCCGCGAGGAGGTCGGACTGGATCTTGGACTCGTCGCGGGTGTGCATGTAGCGCTCGCGGCCGTGGTTGAACATTGGGGTCAGGGGCCCCGCGTAGGTGTGCGGGTCGAGTTCTTTGAGGAGGGAGCGGGTGCCGCGGAGGAGGAAGAGCCAGTCTGGGAAGGAGGACTCGCCCATGATGAGGGAGTCTGAGGATTTGCGCGGGCAGGCGAGGGCTTTTGGGGAGGTGTTAGTCCTGATTGCTGTAGACTTTTGTGAAATAGGGGTAAAAGGGTGTGAGTGACAAAACGAACCAAAAAAGATGGTCAACACCGAGAACAGATACAACTTTTCACAATTCTCCCCGTCTAGAGCGCCCATCAACCCCATGGCCGTCCGGCTCGCCATCTGGTGATACGTCAGGGCCCGGCTAATAAAGAAATCCCGCCTCTCGGGCCTATTGTGCGCGAGGTGCAGCGCCGACACGCTCAGCAGCGCGCGCATGACGTAGTCGCACTCGAGCGCTAGCCGGACGACGGGCACCTTCCACATCTGCCGCACCACGGGGTCCGTCGAAAGCGTGTTGAAGGCGAAGGTTGTGAAGTTGTGCATGAGTTCCAGGTCGATTAGGTTAAGGGAGAGGTCGTCGATGCCTCCGCCATTGCCGAGGCTGAGACCACCACCACCGGCCCTGGCCCCGGCTCCGATGTCGTCACCGTTGACGGGCCCTCCCGGGGTCGAGAGGCTGCCCGGCGAGCGCGGGACGGATGAGGAGGAGTGTCGTTGGGACTGGAGGAAGTCGCAGGGGACGGCGTGTTTGATGCAGTTCCTGCATGAGGGTTTGTGTTCGTCGCACTGTGGGGGTGGTTATTTGTCAGTTTGTCTCGGTGCTTGGGGTCACCTATTGTGTAACAAGAAGAAAATCGAGTAAGAGGGTATGGAAAAATAGACGAGGCATGAGAATGAGGGAAATGAAATGAGATGTGATGGTGGCATCAATGAGAGTGCGTGAGAAAGGAAAGTGGGTGGGGTGTATGTCACAACACCAACACCCAGGTAGAAAAACACTCGTAGCAAACGATTTGCAACACAAAGAATGGTATACTAAAGAACTCACTTTAATCTTTCGGTTCTTACACGTCCTACACCCCGTCCTCGACTTGGGATGCGACCGCCTCGAGACAACAGTCGCGCCAGTATTCGCCGTAGCCGCACCAGGAGTAGTTGTAGTAGTACCACCAGGCGTGCTCCGCCTCCCAGCACCAGCACCCGAAGCCGAGACCGTCGTACTCGTCGTGGACGAACCACCAACGCTGCTGCTCGCCGCCAAAATACTACCCAACGGCATCGCAACGCTAGGCGACTTGGTGGTGGTGGTATTGGTACCACCGGCAGCAGTCACCCCAACACCACTGTGAGGCGTCGTCGCCGTAGCCGTCGGCGTCGAACCCGGCGCCGAGGACGAGCCGCCGGACCCATTCATCGGGCTGTCCATCATTTACCGTACCGTGCCGGGTTACGCGGCAGCCCAGCCACTTCGACTTTGGTCAGCGGCGCGCAACTCGCACACAGCAGCCAACCAACCAGCCAGCAGTCTCCCCCTGGGGACGCTTAGGCCGCCGCCGCCGCCCCGGAGTAGGTAAGCAAAGGGAATGTGAGAGGGGCCGGTCACAACCCGTGTAGCGATCGGCGGGTGTGCGCGACGGTGGCGGAACCACGGTTCGAAATGCGAGAGTATGACCGAGGCCTGCGCAAATTCGGCAAAGCCTGGCTCGGGGCAGAAAAACAACGGGGACGCGGATTTTGGCAAGAGAATGGTGGCATGAAAGGAAGAGGAAGGAAACCAGTTTCGAGGGACGTGGTTGGCGGCGGCCTCGTTTTTCTCGGATGCAAGGGCTACGGGGTTCCGAATACGAGAAGGTTGTTGAGGTGTGCCCGCGGTTTCGCAAGTAAGAAGAGCGGGGATTGGCTAAGCTCCGCGCGGGCCGAAAGTCAGGTCTTCTCTACCAATATAAAGAGGTGGATGCTTCCGTCTATGTTCTAGATTAGCAAAGATGATGGAACTACTAGATAGTCCTAGGTCGCCGAGGCTCTCGTACTGGCACGGATTGGCATACCTTCCTCAGATCACAGGGAGGCCTTAGGCTCGATAGCGGTGCTCGAGTTTGTCAAATTTCACGTCAAAAGCTGCAACGTTCATTGATCCATTCCATTGAGACGATCTATCAGCGCTGTCTGCTCGCCTTCTACTCATGCTCTCTGTTGAGACCCAGGCAACACGCTTGTCTCCCTTGGCCCCTTATCTCCTCCGTTGCCTCTCCACGATTGAGCCGCCGAGATGTCGCGGGCTGTACCTTTCCTCTAAATTACCATTCTTCCCCTACGGTGACTAAACAACTATGCAATGTGACCGAAACCATTAGCAAAAAGATTCCCATGCCGCCGCCATGATGGGATGAACGAAGCATTTTCTCGTCCTGCGTAAGTCAGAAGGGGGTGTCAAGGATATCCGCGTCGATTGAAATTGGAAGTTTTCATGAGTACGTCGTGTGAATGGTTGATAAGGAGTAGGGAATTCGTTCGAGAAGCCGAGCGTGATGTCTCTTTTGCTTGCTTTCGCGCACGTCGGGAAGTGTTGCACGATACCGCCGGTGCCAAAATAAACGCCACTAATCGTCAATGGCATCCGCTCCTCAGCGCTGACCGCTGTGGGCTACACCGCCCGTGCTGTGCTTGCCAACTTATTTGGCGTGCTTCTTGAAGGCAAGAAGCTCAGACAGGCTGCCCAGCGGGCATCCGTGCTTGAGGAAGTCGTGCTGAAGAAGCTCGTCGGCAGAGGCTCTGCTCTTGACGTCTACGCACAAGCAGACCGACAGGAAAGCCTTGAGCTC